GCCGAACTAGGTCCATTCAACACTTCGGCCAAAGTCAATGAAATGTTGAAAAGCAAACCTGAAATATCCAAGGCACTAAAAAGCTCTGCTGTATATGTTGACCGACAAACACGTGTCTGTTTCTTTGACACGAACTCAATCACTTGAATGTCATTGGCACCAATCTTTGGAAAGTCTCGGTCAACAAGGCAAATCACACCGCTACGGCTTGCAAGGTGGTCTTGATCCTCACCCTTGAACCCAGAATCTGACACAGCAATTAGTCTCCATGGATTGTTTAACTTAAATTTCATGATGAGGGGCTTACTTTTTATGTAGGATAACACCCTATTCAAGTTGATTATGTCCTGCACAGTTGGTTTCTGCAAACGTCTTTGCAAGGCACCCACAAATACAGCTACGTCGAGCCTAGTTTGGACCACCCAGGCAATTCCGCCCAAGAGAGACATAAAAAGATGTTTGTATTCATCATCAACTTCTGATTCTTTGGGCAAAGCCTTCAGGCGATCAGTTGGAATTGGCTTTAATTCGGCTATGTAGTGGGTTTGGCTGACTGTGATGGAACCATCAGGCTGCAACTCATGCTGCAGCCCCAAATGCACAAAGCTATCCTTTTCCAGCTTTAGAGCATCGAAATGGCTTTCGAGGTGCGAAACTACGGACTGCAAGAATTTGGGTTCACCACAAAGTTTTATATCATCTACATGTATGGTCATGAGGAGAACCAATCTTCCTTCTCTGTGCATGCAAAAGAGTTGTGGATCTATGTTGGTGGCAACAACTCCTGCCTTTGTTAGAACCCGTTTTAATGCCAGTAACCAGAGGCGAGGGGCATCTTTGAGCCCAAACCCGGGCTTCAGCATTATAAGTACCTCGGCTTCTGGGTCGTAGTTTTCATACCCGCCTATGGATCTGAGCAAGTGTTCGCCCCCTGGCGGAAGCGAGATCTCCACCTGCCGCAGCTCTCCACCTTGCTGGTGAAGCTCCTCGAATGATAGGCCTCGCAAGAAAGCTTCAGATATGTCAGCTGACCACAAATTCCAAGCATTCTGTACTGCTATTGCAATCAGCAGTCTTTGGCTCCACCTGGTGGATGTCCCAGCAAAAGTATCGGTTACCTGTTTGTCTAAAAACCCTTGGGCTACCAGGCGTGCCTTAATTTTACGGGACTTACTTTCTCCTTGACCTATATCCTTCCATTTCAAAACCCATTTACTTTTCAAGATATTTTGTGCATCAGTTCGTCTTCCCCTTTTCCATGCTTTATGCTTTATCCAGCGCATGAGTTCCAAAAGCATTGCTTCCTTACATTCATCTACATGCTGTAGTGCTTCTTGTCTGGTTAATATGTTGTTCACTCTTTCGATTACCGCACTGGAAGCGGCGCCCGAAGTATACGTAAAAACCAAACACTTGTCCTTTTGCAAGGGATGCGTGGCTTGCGGAAGTTTCAGCACAAAATACTGGAGCATGGGCTGAGGAATTACAAACTGAGGCGGTTCCACTATATCATCGGAATCAACACAGTCGACACTATCCAATCCAGAACTCATATAAACATGCGGACACCCGGATTCATGGGCAGTTCCAGTGTATTCCAACCTGGAGGTCAAGCTCAAAAAATCAAAGGCATATTGGTCGGCACTGCTATCATCATACAATTGCGGATTCTCAAGCTCATAAGCAGAAGTCTGGACTTCTTGAAGGTCTGGAAATGGCTCGGGTTTTGTCGATTTGGGTGTTTCCTGTTCATATTCGGATTGCAACTCCCTTTGGTCAGAAAACTTGTCTGCAATTACTTTCTGACCTCGGATAAACTCATTGGTTTTGTTAGTTATTTTAGGGAGGTCAGGATCATATGTTCCTCCTAAATGTGGGATATCTGGGGCTACCTGTCTCAACGCTTCAATCTCGGTCGGGTCGATCATGAGAAACTGGACTACGGAAGCATTTTCCACACTTGTGATTTTGGGGATGTTGAGAACGCGAGTTCCAGGAACAAAGACATGATACCATTCCGACAAATCGCTAGAGTGACTATTCCACCACAGAAGCAAGGTATCGTCAAAAGTAACTGCTGGGAGATTTCCAATGCTAGTCCCGTACCTGAAACCAACCACACCTTGGAGATGCAAACAACATGCCGAAACATACAAACCTGCTGCCAGAACGTCAGAGTGATCACGATTGGCATGACATTCGATCCAAGAGGAACCCTGCTTCATCCAACCAAGTCGCAAAGCTTGGCCTAGATGAATTTCAACACCGGCTTTCAAGACACGGACTGGGCCGGCTGGCCGCATCAAAAAGCTGGCATAAAGCAAGGCCCTTCGCACATCTTGGACTCGCACTGCTAAAACCCTGCCCTGCCATTGCACATATAGCATTCCATCTTTCAGACTGGCGAGGTTTACAACTTCAGCTGGTCCATGCCATCCACATGAATCTTTAGCCATAGGTTTTCTATAAAACTCTACCAAATCACCCAACTGGAGTTCAAGCAGTTCCCCTGATCTCCTAGTCTTAGACTCATTAGCTATCTTAGCCTTTTGGCTTGCGCTAGCTTGAATCATGCTACTTATTGCCACATGGCGAATTCGTGACGCATCTCGGTCGGAAACGTCTTCACCAGTTTCTTCGGTGATTGTTGTTAGCAGCTTAGGAGTTCTTCCAAACAATGCCTCGTAAGGTGAAGCATTACCGCACTGGTACAATGCATTTTTCGCAAATATGGACTCCGCTAGAATCATGGCAAATGAAGCTGGCAAACCCTCTAGTGTCACCTGGTTATCCACTAGATGCAACTGTCTACGCAGGATTTCATTATGTCGCTCAACCAAACCGCAATGCTGTTCTTTGGCACGAAGGTTCAGCTTGATTCCTTTCTTTTCAAACCATTCTGCTGCTAGGTCATTTGCGAGACCGCCTTCACGGTCCGACAGAACATTTGTCGGAGGACCATATAGCCGAAGCCAGCAAGTAGCAAAACCTTCCAAGATACTGTGAGTTTCCTTGTTTGGAAGAATGGCGACTGCTGACCAACGGATGCAGGCATCCACACAATGAAGCAGAATGTGTGTCTTGTAGAAAAGGAGATCGACCTGAACTTCTTGATTGAATGATTCGGGAACTCTAGCGGATGCGACAGTGCGTGCTCCAACCCTCTGCCAATTCCGGCATACATCACAAGTGTCTATTATGGTTGGCAGCAATGACAAAACATCACTGCCCACTCCCGCTGCCTCCAACAGCGTACGCATCCGTTTCAAAGATGCATGGTACCAACGAATGTGAAGTTTCCTGAGTGTTCTGCGAACTACACCTTCACGAATGGACCTTAACTGTTGAAGAGCAAACCCTAGATCATGCTTTGTCCATGAGGGCAACTTGCTGTCTAAATCTGGATCTGCGAGAGCAATCTCACCATCTGCCGGCGCTGGCACTGACAAAGGCAAATTGGCTTGAACCCCAGCTGCAACTTTTGGTCGTGATGAACCTGAGGATCGAGATCCTGGTATTTTGGGGTGAAGCGACATCTCCACTTCTCCCTTGTCGGCTCTTCTCTTGGCTGCTTCTTCTGGTGTTAATGCATCTGACACTGGTGGAGGGCCATCGGCATCGGAGTCATCAAAAACTGTTGTCCGTTCTTCTGACACTCCAGTTTCTCGGTCTAATCTCAAACGAGAAGTGGGTTCTGCTGACGCGGGAACGCGGCCATCACGCGGGTGCGTGGACGACCTTTCTCTAGATGCTCCTTCCGAAACGCTCCGAGCTATAGCCCATTGGCAATCGGGGCCATTTGTGTGCGATGGATCAGCTCTGTGCTTGTGCCTTACACAACCTGGGCAAGACCATGCAATAGATTCAACATGGCGATGCTGACATCCTTCACTGCGAGTGTGACGGCTGTCAGTCTTTCTCATATGGCCGCGGCATGCTGGACATGTAGGTTTGTCAGCCCCTTCTGGTTTGGCAGCTTCAGTAGCAGGATATGTCATGGCATTAACTGTAGATGCTCGATCCAACAAACACTCAACGACGCCTGCTGCTATCCGCTCGCACAACTGGAGCGGCCACACTTGCATGTCGGCACTTTTAACTGTCGGATGTCCATCGCAGGACCAACTGCCAATGTGGGCATGTTGATGCTTACCATTACATCGCAGATCTTGCAAAAACATCAACAAGGCAGGATGAGAGGCTTTGCACCGTGCTTATCAAGATTGACATCATCTACAACAAGTGACTCGGGTTGTCCTTTGGTTGGCATCTGCAACAGCTCAGGAGCGCGCAGGATGTGCTCGCTCCCACAAACCATATGTATCAACTTGCGCAAGACATGCTCAAATCTTGCGGTGGCTCGAGGACCGAGCTCCTTTTGGGACACATGATTTATTGATTCCTTGCAATTGCATTTGCGACCATCAGGAACCTGGAAATTTGTCAATAAACGAATACGTGAACAACAAGGCTGCAAAGAGTTGGTGCTTCCGCTCTCGTAGTTGCACCACTGATGTACAGTTGACAGCAATGATGACATGCATTCCTTCACGGCTTGAAGGTTCCAAAACCTGACTACGTTCACTAGCCTCAACAACCACCAATCTTTGTTCTGCTTTCTGCTGATTGAGAACTCTTACAAGATGCTCTGCACGAAGAGCATCGTGTCTGTTTCCGGAGCCTGCGCAAGGTCCTGCAAAACGAATCCACAACAACGAGGGACACTGAAGTGCCAACTCGTTCAAAAGACTTTGACACTGGCTACGGCTGTGTAAGTCATGATGAAAATGCACAGTACGAATGCCAAGTTCTTGGAGGAGTCTTTGCCGGAGACCTGCTTTGTCCGAAAAAATCCAAGCTAAATTTTCAGCCTTTGTAGAAACCAAATGCTTCATTATTGCTTGTGATTCGTTCTCAGACATTGCAATCACGTTGCAGCTGTGAGATGAACTGGTGGCACGACCAGCTGTCACATCATTGCCACCAGGTGTCGGCTGGGTTCAGTTGGCGGCGGGTGCCTCCGCGCTCTTGGAGCGCTTCGGCGGCGGTGACTGCGATCTGCTTTGGCGACATGACATGTTGAAGGACAATTCCTCATCGTGAGACTTGGACATGGAGCTTGATGCACGCGGATGCAAAGGCAAGACCCAATGACCGCTTGTTGTCAGTTCCAAGTCATACACGTGGCTGCCAGGACTCATCTTTACCTCAATGCCTCCAGGGCCTGGAACTATGAGCTTGCCACTGCCACAGTCCAGGATCACTTGCATCTTGCGTAATGTCTTGTTACCTAGAAGCGGTGGGAGCAAACTGTCTTGAATAATTGGCGCGGTGTAAGTTGCATCTGTGAGAATGCCCAGCACATCCTGCACTCGCATGTGGACACAGGCAGCCTTTTCTGCCACCTGGGCACTTTTACCTACACCTTCCACGGGAAGAGGTTTGTTCATTGAGCGCTGAACCAAGGCTGTCTGCAGCTCATCACACATCTGCTCCACGGTGCGGCCACCGATCAAATTATCGTGTGCGCCTGGATCTATGAGCAGCCCTACTGCGCCGTTCTGCCTTCGTGTCCGGAGATGATAGATTTGGCTGTTAGCTCTTGAGACATCTTCTTCCTTTATGCCATCCACCTCCCACCAGGGATAGGAATGCCCATCGGCATCACGCTCTCTAGGCTGAGATGATACTGGAAACAATGGAACAGCAGATGGGAAAACAAATGTGTTACCACTGCTAGGTGCACTTCCAGCAAATCCTGCACTTCCAAACGTCAGCATTTGGCTGGGATTCATTCCTACATTCTGCATGGCATGTTGGCCTGTCAAATGTGTTTCGAGGTTCAGCACTGCTCGAGGACGATCACCAGTGGTTGCACCTGGCTCGCTTGACTGCGGTGACTGCTGTGAAAATCCTGAAGGCTGATTCCCCAAACCTAAAATGATACTGTGCAAACCCTGGACGGTGCGATCTCTCATCTCCTTACGCTCTTCAGCTGAAAGCATTCTACTGGGACCCTCTTCATTGTGCACTACATGCTCATGTGGAACATTCACGGAAGTACTTGGCAAATCATGTTGTTCAACAAACCCTGGTGCTGGCTCTGTTGGAGGCGGCACACCAGGCTGTGGCACTCCTTCAACCAATGGTTCAACATGTGCATGTCCACTACCAAAAACTACAGAACTCTTACCACTACTCTGCGCTGTCTTAGGACTGGCCGAAACACCTGGTTGCGGACTAGTGGACAGACTTGGCTGTGGCGTGGCAAACACTTGCGGTGGAGGACTGCCTGCATTCCAGCTGGGAGCTGGTCGTGTTGGGTTCCTAGGTGTCAACAACTCAGGTGCATCTGAGGTCGCTCTTTTGCGGTTGCTATTGCTAGAAACGACACTGCCAGCCTGAGAAACACTGCGGAGGTTTTCAAACTCAGTTCCGAAAAAATGAACACCAGGCAGGGACGTGGTGGCCGGATGTCCCCACAGCAATGGCTGGCCAGCGCTAGTTGAGATCAAAGCCAACTGATTCTGCGCAGGCTGCCCACTTGGTTGATGAATCGAACCGCTTGGATATGCAGAATCTGCCTGTCTTTTGGGGCAGCTGCGCCATAAATGCTCTTCTGATTGGCATATGTTGCAACGCATCACTTGGCCTGACTTGTCGCGTGGGTTCCGCTTCTTTGATGGGGATTTTCCTTTACCCTTACCACCAGCAAATGCCCCCGGGGGAAGAAAGGAAGAGTAACTGTGTGATTTGGAGCCTTTACTGCTGCCCTTAAAACCCCTTCTGTAGCGCCTAGGAAACTTGTTTGCAACTCGACGCCATTTTTTCCGAGCAAATGCATACTCTTGGTAAGCTTCGGTTGGATCAATACCATCAACTTGAGATTGGGACCCATCATCAGAACTTGTATCAGTGCTACCCCCATCTTGCAAATACATTCCCCCACATGTGGGACATGATCCGTCTGCAGTTGGAAAGGCTGATTGAGCCGTTGGCTGACTTGGCTGCCAGTCTCTCCAAGCTGAATCGTTCACATGTGCATTGCCTGGCTGATGAGGCATTGAGCCGTGGTAAGCGGCCCAAGGATCAGGTGGGTCAGGGCCACCTGTCATGAATGCATTCTGAGGTGGACATGCTTCGGATGCGAAAGTTGGAAAATACCCTTCTGCAAAGAAACTGCCAGGATCACCTGTAGCACCTTGCTGGTGACTTCCTTGAAACCTGCCTTCTCGCAAATGAAACAACCTCCTTAACCTTTCCATGAGGGCACCCAATTCATGCTCCTGCTGCGGCATGTTGCCTCCCAGAGGCGCTAGGAGTCGGTCCCAGAGTTCCGCAGGCAGATTCAACGATTGCATGAGCAGCCATGCAAGCCCGGTGAAATTAACTGCGAAACCTGCTCTCATGTTTGCTCTATTTCTCAAGATGTCGAACCTGACCAATACGCTATCAATCCCCTCTCCAGGCATTCTGCGAAAGGAAAGAAATTCTGAAATGCTCTTTGTTGTGTTTTCCGTTTCCAGTGGTGCGTATCGTCTAGCCAGCACCGTCACCAGCAGCATGAGGCCGGTGAGCTGCTGGCCCGAGCTCGGGTCAACATCTCCGTGTTGCAATTGGTGAGGGGTCAGCTCCCGAACTAATTCCCTAGCAGTTCCTTGCACTTGCAAGGCGGCCACAGGGCCATGGCGGATGGGATCCAGATCGCTGGCGCTTGCCCACAATACCAAATCGGAAATCCAAGTTCTGAGAGAATACACATGGTTCCTCTCGATGCACCAGCTTGGCGGCACTTTTAGTGTCGCAGTACCCACAAATGGTGGGCCTGCATCGCTCTGATGGACATTAGACCTGGGACCATGTTGTGAATGATGTGGACGGTGTGGCATATGCATGTGACAAGTAATGGCAGGCAAACCGCACACAAGAACCAACACAATTAATCCCAGGGTCCAGTTACTAGATCGCCCCATGGTTATCCTCTTATTTAATGTAAACAATTTCATCAAACGAAGATTCAACCTGGAAAGAAAGCTCTGGCTGTACACAGGCACTGCGCGATCTCTATGTACATTGCGGTCCGCGGACAGACGGCGATCCACGAGCATTTCTTCATGCGATCCATTGGTCCACATTGTCAAAGCAGTCTGAGCAACACTCAATGCCTTTGCTCTCATTAGATCAAAACTCGGTGAGGTACCATCTCTGATGTACAAATCATTCTTGTAAGCAGCATAGAATCCAGTCTGGTTCGCCAAGGATAAACAGATGTGGTCATTCCCGTCTGTTTCAACATCCAAGGTCACGGTCAGCTGAAAACGAACTGCTGAGTGCACATTGGGCTCATTCGTCGTCGTCGTTGCCAACGGAAGGCTGCGTCGCACGTGTTCTGTCGTTGTCTCATTCAAACTGAACTGCCAATCAGCTCCCTTGATCAAGGTCAATTCAAAGCCAGTGATGAGAAGCATCGAGGCAATCAATCCAAAGAGAAGTGCACGACAACCAGTCAGCAGCCAACGTTGGCAACGGAGCCCAAGGCCCGGTCGAGCCATGGGCTCCGCTACCAAGTTGGAATCAACAAGGTAGGAAGCATTGTCAACTGAAATGCACGGCAAAGCAGCGTGCAAATGTCTCTTTTCTGCATCGCTCTGGAGATCCATGTCGGATATGTCAAGTGAATTCAGTCCAGCAAAAAGGGAATCAAACATGCACAGCGGCGAAAGAGACAAGGATCGGTGGAAACTCTCACAATGCAACAGAAACTAGTCTCGAGACTGAAATCGCGGTCGGGCGAATTGCATGCCAAGTCCCATTGCGACAACTGAGTTGGATGCCTGAGCACAAGAGATAAGAGATTGAGGTGATAAGGATGCACACCTTTCGA